GATCTGTGCTGTTAGGAAACAACAAATCTTGCAAAATTGCAGGTATTGGATCTGTGAGATTCAAGCTCCATGATGAGTCAATAAGGTTATTGACTGAAGTCAGGTACGTACCTGACTTGAAGAGAAATTTGATTTCTCTTGGTGAATTCGACAGAAAAGGATATGTTTTTCAAGGAGAGAAAAGTATCCTAAGAGTCATGAAGGGGTCGAAGGAAGTCTTGAGAGGCGTGAAGAAACAAGGCTTGTATACCCTTGAGGCTGAGGTTGTAAGTGGTTCGACAAATGTTGCATCCACGAAATCTATGTCGAAGACAGAATTATGGCACATGAGATTGGGCCATGTCAGCGAAAGAGGCCTGGTCGAATTGGGGAAGCAGAACCTGCTAGGAGGTGACAAAGTCGAAAAGTTGGAATTTTGTGAATCTTGTGTATTTGGTAAATCCTGTAGGGCGAAGTTTAACAAAGGCAAGCAAAGAACACATGGATCTCTGGATTACATTCATGCTGATCTTTGGGGGTCTGCAAGAAATCCTTCACACTCAGGTGCAAGGTATTTTCTATCCATCGTTGATGACTATTCCAGAAAACTATGGGTATTCATTCAGAAGACGAAGAATGAAACTTTTGAGAATTTCAAAAGTTGGAAGATTCTAGTTGAAACTCAGACTGGCAGAAAGGTTAAGAGGTTGAGAACCGACAATGGCCTTGAATTCTACAACGAAGCTTTCGACAGTTACTGTGTTGGGTCTGGGATTGCAAGGCATAAGACTGTAGCAGGTACTCCTTAACTAAATGGCTTAGCTGAGAGATTCAATCGAACAATCCTTGAAAGGGTTAGATGCATGTTGGTTAGTGCTGGATTGAAGAAGGTGTTTTGGGCGGAAGCTGTTTCGACAGCAGCTTACCTGATAAATAGATGTTCCTCGATTGCCTTGGGAATGAAGACACCTGAAGAAGTTTGGTCAGGACATCCACCTAGTCTCGACAAACTGAGAGTATTTGGCTGTGTGGCCTATGCTCATATTAGGCAAGACAAGGTCGAACCTAGAGCTCTGAAATGCATGTTCATGGGATACCCTGAAGGAGTCAAAGCTTATAGGCTATGGTGCCTAGAGCCAGGTCACAGGAGGTGTATCACCAGTCGAGATGTAGTTTTCAACGAAGCAGAGATGGCTTTCAAGAAAACTGATGATGCTGACGAAGAGTTGGAACAGGGAGAGATTCCTGTTGAGGTGGAGCATGTTGATGCTGAATTGCTTACCCCAGATGAAGTCGAAGAAGACACAGAAGATGCTGTCGAAGATGAGGAGACTGATAATTACTACCTGCTAGCAAGAGACAGGTCGAGGAGAGTCATCAAGCCACCTCAGAGACTTGGGTATGCAGATCTTATAGCTTATGCCTTAATCTCTGCAAGTGAGGTTCTAGACGAAGAACCTAGAGACTATAAGGAAGTTATGAGGAATCAAAAGAAGACAAATTGGTCTTTGATGTATGCTATGGTTTGTACTAGACCCGACATAGCATATGCAGTAAGTCTTGTAAGCAGGTACATGGCGAATCCTGGAAAGGCTCACTGGCAAGCATTGAAATGGATTTTAAGGTACATAAATGGGTCTCTGAACAGAGTCCTAATTTATGGTGGAGCCTTGGGTGAAGATAGTAAAGCAGTAATCGAAGGATATGTCGACTCTGATTATGCAGGTTGTATGGATTCTAGAAAATCTATCTCCGGATATGTGTTCACTATGTTTGGGACAACAATCAGTTGGAAAGCAACACTTCAGAAGGTCGTTGCCTTATCAACCACTGAAGCGGAGTATATTGCTCTAACTGAAGCTGTGAAGGAAGCAGTGTGGCTTGAAGGTTTTGCAAAGGAGTTAAAACTTCAAGGTCGAGTTATCACTGTTAAATGTGATAGTCAAAGTGCAATACATCTGTCGAAGAATTTAGCCTATCATGAGCGAACCAAGCACATTGATGTGAGGCTGCATTTCATCAAAGGGGTAATCGAGCGTGGAGAAGTCCAAGTGCTGAAAGTTTCGACAGATCATAATGCTGCTGATATGATCACCAAGACATTGCCCAGTTGCAAGTTTTTCCACTGTATGCAGTTAATAAATCTGCATGAAGAAAGCTAGTTTCTCGATGTTATAGAGTTAGATCCAAGGTGGAGATTTGTGAGACATTGGATCGAACTCTAGTGTGGTCGAAGTCTGTTCGCAAGTAATGCATGTTGTAGTCGAAGTTTGTTCTAACATGCATGAGTAAATATTGCTAAGGTTGTTAGCATGAGTAAATATTGCTAGGGTTGTTAGCATGTTGAATTAGGTCTTGCTTGTAAGCCTAATTGTTTAAGTTAGCTTGTACCCTAAGTTAGCTTGTAATGGGTAATTGTTAAAAAGCTCATTAGGTTAGTGTGCTATTTTATTATAAATAGGATGCTAGTTTCTCAATCTTGGCATAAGGAAAAATAGGAAGATAAAATCCTAATTTCAAGGGAGAGAGGTTATTTTGTTATTCTTGTATACTTGTAATCTTGTTCGAAGAGAAAGGAAAGAATAACAGTTTAATAACCAATCCTTGTTGTTCCTTGTTGTTTTACCTTGTCTTCTTTGTTAACCCTAACCCTTGTGTGTTTCTTGATCATTAAGAAACTGTTTATACTTTGTTTGAAGGTATCCGATTCACAACAGAAACGGATGGAACACTTGTTTAACAGGAAACAACAATAAATGAAAGTGAAAGATCTATTTTATAAAGAAAAATCCTCTAGCTTGAATGGACAGAATGGCCGATAGAAGCAAGAGAAAGCATTGAGGACTCGGCTCTACTCTTAGGCATGCATAAAAATAAGAGGTTTATATTTGTTTGTCTTTTCCATGATGTTTTTATATCATCATTGTATTTAATGATAGGTTTTTAATAAAATCAATAATATCAAGAAATCAATCGTATACACCATAAGAAATGACATGATTGAAAACAAACTCTTTTAGCTAACAAGTGCAAATTACCTTGATTGAGATTTTCTCACTACCCGATTGTAATTTCTGCTCAAAATCTAGTACTTGCTTTTGTAGAAGAGGGATTTCATTTTTTTTAGTTTCAAGTTCTTCTAGAGATTTCTTCAAGGATGCCTCTAGTTCCAACTTCTGAGATTCTGCTCCTTTCTGCATTTTTAAAAAATTAGGAAAAAAAATAGAAAATCACTATGAGAAAAATCACTATTATAGATTATGTACATCTTCTTAAATGTCATTTCAAAGTTCAAAGTAGTATTAATTGTTATACAAATTGGAATTCGGTTAGGGTTCACATATCGGTAGTATAGACACGTCGGTCTTGTAGCAGAATTCGGACAGTAGAAACAAATCGGCTCCAATCATATAATCAGTGAAAAGAAGTCATGTGAACAGTCACAAATGGACGGTTACGAAACATTTCCATGATGGCAAGGAGTTACAGAAGTTGGGGAAAAAGATATCATGTGGTGATTATGGGAGACAACAGACATTATTCAGAATTGCCTTAATGAGGGATACGAAGAAGCACCCATTGAAGGGTCATTGATGGACGCAGGAGTATAAAAAGAGACTTCCTTCACGAGGAAGAGGATGGAAGAACTATTAGAGAAACACATTAGCAGACACTTAACCAATCACTTAAGGATCTCCTTGACTAGTATAAAAAAAGTCAACCTTTTAATGTTTTTAGCAAGATCAGATTATGTAATCATCTCAATCTTGACGTACAACTGAGCTCGTACACATAATTGATTAGCTATAGCAGCCTGCAAGTTGCAATTCTTTCTCAAGTTTTACCACCTTTTCATTCAACACATTTATTTCATTGATTTTTTTTTTATAATCTTCAAACTCGTTCAGCAAATAAAATATACTCCTTTTGTTCTTTTTTAAGTGTCAATTTTTAAAAAAAAGATTGTTTCTTCTTAAATGTCATTTCAAAGTTCAAAGTAGTATTGATTGTTATTTTGTCAAAAATACATCTAATTATTTATTACGGAGAGAAAAAAAGTCAAATAAATTAATAAAATATTAAGGATAAAATAAGAAAAAAAGATAATAATTGTTTAGCAAATAACAACAATTATTAATTTTTTTAATATATATAAAAAAATAACACTTAAAATAGAATGAGTGAATATTTTTTATCTTCATTGTATTTAATGATGGGTGTTTAATAAAATTCATAATATGAAGAAAACAATCATGTACACTAAACGAAAATACATGATAGCAGACAAGAGCATTCGATAAACAAAACAATATATATTAAATTAGTTAGCTCGTATAGGTCTTAGGCTCGAAGGACCATTGACTAATACATCCTCCATTCTTTTTTATAAACAAAATTTAACTTTTTAAATTATTGAATTTAATGTATTTAGTCTATATATTATTTAAATATATCATTTATTCAATAAATTTAAAAAGTCAAATTTTATTTATAAAAGAAAATGGAGGAAGCATGCCTTAAATCAATTTTCCCTTACCAGCCTTGCAATTAAGTGACTATGAACTTATATGTCTTAAATCACTTCATCTTGATATGTTTACTCTGAATATGACATTTACACCGATTATTCATACAATAATGTATATACTTTGTTTTCTTTTGTTTACTATTTTATGAAAATTGGAAATTGTGCCAATGCAAAGTATAGTTTAAAAGCTACGGTGTACTTATACGGTGTCATAATTGCTATACGGTGTCGTAATTGCTATATTTTCACCAGTTTGAGAAGAAAAATATACTCCAAAGCAAAACAGCCTGCATTCAAATTGTATAATTCCAAACTAAAAACAAAGCATTACTCAGCTCCCATTTCTTTTGCACAAAGGCGAGGGATAGACGCAAAAACAAGTTCCCTAACCAACTCAAGACTCATGTTTGAAAGCATGTAAAGCTTTCAAACTGACAGAAAAACCATCAAGTATAAATAGAAGAAAAAAAACCGAATGACATATTGGCAAATATTAATAACGCTTCCCAAGAATTATGCCAAAGATAATAGACACAAGAGCAGTTCCAAAGATGAACTTCAAGTTCGTGAAAGGCGAATCCTGGCCGGTTTGAGTTTGAGTCTCGGCCGAAGTAGATGATGCCTGAGCAGCTGTTGCTTCTGACTTCTTCTTGCTCTTCCTTTTCGTTGGAGTCGAGATGCTAAAGTCTCGTGATTTCACTTCCACTCCATCCTTCTTGTCAACACTCTCCTCACCCTGGAACATCATTAAGAAATGGGAATATGAATTCTGCTAACAGATTAATTATAACATGACATGAGTTCGACAGTTCCTACGCTAACAAGTGTAAATTACCTTGACTGAGATTTTCTCGCTACCCTGTTGCGATTTCTGCTCAAAATCTAGTACTTGTTTTTGTAGAAGAGAGATTTCATTTTTCTTAGTTTCAAGTTCTTCTTGAGATTTCTTCAATGCTTCCTCTAGTTCCATCTTCTGAGATTCTGCTCCTTTCTGCAGAAAAAAAAAAAGGAAAATATAGAAAATCGGTATGAGAAGAATTACTAATATCGATTATATATTTATCTCAATCTCGGCATACAAGAACATCATTGTTAATGAGCTTGTGTGCGCACCTGATTAGCTATAGCAGCCTGTGCAAGTTGCAACTCTTTCTCAAGTTCGACCACCTTTGCATTCAGAACATTTATTTCATTGATTTTTTGTTCATAATCTGTAAATTTTGAACTCAAATCAGCTTCTCTTTGAGAAGCAGCAGCTTGAACATTTCCAACCTGCAAAACATCAGATTAATCAGCAAAGCTCATACATTAAGATTTGAAAGTTACTTTTGCTTCTAAATTTTCACTTATAGGCAGTTCTATCAGTACCTCTTCATGTAGTTTAGATTCAGCTTTCACGAGTTGTGCTTCAATTTCCGTGAGCCGACTTTGCAAAACAGATTTCTCAGCTATCTCAGCTTTGAGTGTTTCAACCTCAGATCTCAAAGAGTCTTCATTTTTCTGATGCTCCTTCAACTTCTCTTCAAGGTCAAGTATCATAGACTCAAGTTGCTTCTTTAAACTCTGATTAGTCTCATTGAGCAAGTTCTTCTCCTCTATTACCGAAGATATCTGCGAGTTGATAACATTTCATTGAGAACAATTCACTAACTATATTACACAAATAGCAAAAGACAAAGAAATTAAATTAAAAAAAGAAAGGAATATCGATGTGTTTAGTCTGTATTTTAAGTACCTCTGACTTCAATGTCTGCACTTCTTCACTGAGCTTTGTCACTAAGTCTTCGGCGGCGTTCTTCGATGAGACTATCTCATTAATTGTCTTGTCCTTCTCGGCAAGTTCTGCAGTGAGCTTTGACTGTAAATCACTTAATTTGGTTTCATAGACAGCTATTTCCTGAACAAGTTTTGAATTTTCCTCCTTTACTCCAGCAGTTTCTTTTTCATGGTGGAGTGACTTGTTTTGTAGCTCCTCAACAACTGTTTCAAGATGCTTTAATTTTACGAGATTCTCCTCAAGCTCAGACTTATGAGTTTCAGCCGTTGCAACAGCTTCCCGCGCCTGTTCTTCATACAACTTTATCTGTCCTTCTAGAGTATTCAGCTTCTCATTCAATTCTTTGGTTTCTGATTCCTTCTCAGTATGCTTCTGCAAAGCTTCTTGTAACTGGGACTCTAACTCCACGATGCGAGCTTCATTGGCAGAATGAATTGCGGAAGATTTTGATTGTACATCATTCAACTCAGTTACTAAATTCTTATGTGAAACAAGTTCTTGAGCAGTGATTTCCTTCTCAGATAGAACACTGTTCAATGACTCCTGAAGTTCATCAATCTTTGATTTCAGTTGAATGTTTGTTCCAACCAGTAATTCATTCTCAGAAAATGACTGTGAAGTCTTGTTCTCAGCTTCAACAATTATCGTTTTCAAATCTTCGTTTTCGCTTTGCAATGAAGCGAGTTTGCTCAAACACGCTTCGAATTCACTCTTCAAAGATGCAGACTCTTCACCGGCTCCTGCAATATTCTCCTCCAGAATCTTAATTTTCTCAAGCAGAGATTGAACCTCGGAATCTTTGCTGTTGAATTTTTCAATAGCTTCTTGGAGCTTCTGTTCAGAATCTCTTGACAGAGATTCATGTAACGACTCGAGTTCTAAGTTTCTGGCAGTAGTATGCTCTATATCTCTTCCCTTTACAACAAGATTTTCTTCAGTAGCATTAAGTTTTTCTCTTATCTCGCTCTCTCTCAATTCAGCAGCCTTGAGATCATTTTCAGTGCTTTGCAACTTAACTTGTGTGAGATTTAAATCATCCCTCACAATTTCCAAAAGGTTTTCTGCCTCGGAAAACTTCTCGCTCAAACTGTTTAAAGAATCTTCTAACTTTTTCTTTTCATCCGTCACAGTGTTTAATGAATCTTTTAACTCTTTTTCCCTTTCATTCGCTTCTTGCAGCGTACTTTCAAGGGTTGAGGTTTGTGCTTTAAACACTTCGAGTTCTGATGTCAGATAAGACACATTTTCAAGATGTTTATTGGAATTTTCTTCTGATTCACTATATTTCTTTTCTAATGTGGTTGTTTGTTGTTCAAGTTCCTGAATTCTGTATTTCTCAGTTTCAAGTAGCAACTCCAACTCACTCACTCTCTTTTCAGCACTTTCGGATTTAGAATGAGAGCTCTGAATTAAATCTTCTAGTTCTAGGCTGCGTTGATTGTATGAGGTAGCTCGATCTTCATGCTCAGAACATTTGTCAGCGACTATCTTCAGCTCCTCCTCCAATTGCGATTTCTGCTTGATTGATTGGTTTAAATCTGATTCAAGTTGACTTACCTTATCTGTGTGCTCCTGCAGTAGGCCATTAAGAAGATTCTTCGCTTCCTCGGCCTCTTTTAATTTAGCTTCGAGATGAGAAATTTTCTCGGAATATTCAGTCACGTCTCTCTCAGCTTCATCGGCTTTCAATTGCACTGAATTTAATTGCTGCTCAAGCTCGATATTCTTCTGCTCTACCGTTATGAAGCGTGTTTCAAGCTCTCGTAGCTGTGATTTTGCCTCTTCTGCAGCTGCATTTGTAGCTTCAACATGACCCTCGAGCTCAAGACTCCTTTGAGTCGCAGTAGCTGCGACAGATCCAGCTTCATTATGAAGGTCTTCTAAAGACTTCACCTTCTGCTCCAGCTCTGAATTGTTCGAAAGCGCCTCAGATAAAAGAGAATCCGTTTTACTAAAATTTTCTTCCGAAAGCTTTAGTTTCTCCTCTAAATCAGTGGACAACTCCTTAAAGTGTTTCGCATTAACGGTTAGATCTTCAAAAGTTTCCTCAAGCCTTGTTTTTTCTGCGTTGAGCTTAGTCAGTTCCTCTTGTACCGATAGAAACTTCGCTTCCTGGCTCTTGAGTGAAACTTCAATTGATTCTCTCGATGTTTCCTCCTCCTGCAGCTTGAGCCTTGCACTTTCCAACTCGGAACTTTTTTCCTTTAGCTCTTCCTTTGTAGAAACAAATAGGTTTTGAAGTGCCGAGAACTCTTCTTTTATCTGTGTTTCTGAAGTTTTTATCAGGTTTAATTCCTTCGTCAACTCGTCTACGAGCGAGTCTCTTGAAGACAATCTTTGCTCAACTTCCGATACGTGTGTTTTGGAGAGTGTCAACTCCTCTTGGACAGTAGAGAGTTCTGCTGCAGTTGTTTTAAGTGCTTCTTCAACCTTTTCCTTTTCAGCAATCTTATCATTAACTCCCTTCAATTCTTCCTTCAGAGAAGCGATCTCATCTTCCTTACCTTTCGCACTCGATTTCGCTTCTTCAAGTAGCCTCTCAAATTCAATCACCTTGTTTCCCTCAGACTCAGCCTGTGAAACGCTTTGCTTATGCAGCTCCTCGAACTTTTGTGCCTCGTCCTTAAAAACTTGCAGCTCATTCTCCAACTCCTGTGTCTTCTTTTGGGAGCTTTCGAGCTTGACATTCAGATCGTCAAACGCTTCCTTCACCTCAAGAAGCTCTTTCTGCTTAACTTCTTGACTTCGCAGAGCCTCTTCGTGAGTGCTGACCTGCAGATTGTACTTGTTCTCAGCTTCAACAATCTGCTCTTGCAGTTTCTTGTGACTTAGTTCAAGCTCTTCGGTTTTCTTTCCACTTTCTTTCAATTTCTCTTGTGTTTCAGAGACCTCTCCCTTCAGCTCCGCGTTTTCATGTTCAGATGTCTTCAAAGATTCTGCAAGTGCTTTCACTTCAGCCTCGAGTTCCCGAACCTTCTCTTGCGCTTCAAGAAACTCTCTGCTAGGAGGATCCGAGCTTCTTTCAGTTTTATTGGACGTATCATCAACCACATTCTCTTCCTTCTCGACTTTAATGAACTCTCCATCCGAGGCATTATCTTCCTCGTCTTTCTTTCCTTCGGCTATTTCCTTAGCCGGCAAGTCTCCGTTTGTTGCCTGCAATAAATCATAAAACAATGATCATTCATAAGACTAGTTTGCACTAAAACTACACAATTATTAATTTAAAATATATTGTATAGAGTAATGCAAAGAAAACAATACCTTAATGTCAACATCTTTGTGATCCACTTCTTCAACAACCTTTGTCACTGGAACTTCTGCAATAACTTTTGTCTCTTCTTCCATGTTTCCTTAGATTGACTGCTATAGAAAAAAAAGAAAAAATATGTAAGAATATTAGTATCATAAAAAATAAAAAAAATAAAAAATTTTAGATTCGTTGAATAATCAATAATCTGAACCAAACCAGATGCATTGTTTATTCAAGAAAAAGAAAAATTCTAGAAAGCATCCAACAATACCCTCGTGCAGGTACTGCTTAAAAACGTGCACCATCATAAGGTTGAAACATTGTGGAAACAGAAATGATAACAAATGGCATGCATGACTATATATGACTATAATTGTATATTTAAACAATAAAAAATTAATTTTACTCAATAAATTAAAAAAATACAAAAAGATTATAAATAATTCAGTGTTTTATTGTGATGATGACAAAGATATCACATGCTAGAAGCACATTCGTGGGTCCTACATTGATGTTTTACAGCTTGATCTCACACATAAGACACCTATGATCTATCCATGCCATGGCTTGGTCCCAAATAATACTTTGTTTTTTTATTTCTTTTTCTATTTTTCTCCTAAAATAAATTCCACCTTTTTTGACCCATAAAAAAACAAAAAGAAAAATCTACCGTTCAATTTTCTTTTTTGAAGAAGATTAGATTCAATCTTGAACATTGGTTAAAACTTAGACATCATGGGACCCAAAACTCAACATTCAAAGAATAAAAATGAATTAAACCGGAATTTGCAAAGAATCAACTTTAATTCCTGTGGACCCACTTTTTGATACTAATTTACTCTAAAAGAAATTTAGGTGAATAAACATTTTTTGACGCGTTAATTGCAACCTTTTTATTAATTAATGGAAAATCATATGCGCTCTTCACGTTGTTACTATTTTGTGATGACATACTAGTTATTATCATTTAAACTGTGATAAATATATTTAAAAATTTAAATAAATTTCAATTTTTAAAAACGAATCTCACTTATTTTTTCTTTTCCAAAAAGACAAGTCTAGTACTAAAAGTGAAGGATAGATTCGTATTTTACAAAAAAATATAAGGGTAGATGTGAACTTTAAGGAATCGAAAATTGCCAACAACATCGATGCTGGCACTGGCAGAATTAAGATTCCAAGTAAAAACACAGTGGCAGTGAGAAAAAACTGTGTTTCTTCTTTTAAGTTTTTTTTAGAACAATGAATAGTATTAAAAGTATTCAGTAAAAAAACAGTAAATAAATAAAAACAGTATTAAAATTATTCAGTCAAAAATAAAGTATATATAGTTTAATTTAAAGTCTTTCATCGTATATTATAGTAAAACATATACTACTCCACCTAACGCTTGAAAGTTACTAATAGTTAAAGAATCAATTAAATCAAAAGTTTTTTAATTTAGTTTAATTCTAGAGAAACGGCTGATTATAGTTTTATACAGAGATGGATCTGATAGAAAATCACAAAACCATTACTTGATCAAATCAAGAACAAATGAAGATTCAACATGATCCTATAATTGATCTATTGAAGATTGAACATGAAAGTATATAATCATGAATTACACATATGCATCATCAATAGTCTGATCCATCAGAATAATAACCAAGTTTCTAAAGATCAAACATGGTATCAGTCTCAGAAGCAAATGAATAAAAAAAATTAAACAAGATTAAGAGTATTGGAAAATACAGAGCTTCTATAAGCTGGTTGGTTAATCAAGCACGATAATCTAAATAAAAAGACAAATAAATATATTAAAAAAAAGAAAAGAAAAGACATATAGATAGATAGATAGAATTCTTGCCTGAGAAAAAGTTGGTTTTTTGCTTATCGTGGAGTGAGAGAGAAAAATGAGAGTTTGGGAAAAAAGAGTAGTGATGGTGGAATTTGGAAGATGAAGAAATTTAGAGAAAAGGGTATATAAGAGAGAAAATGAGAAATATATTATTTTAGAGTTTATATTTTTTTAAAAACCAAGAAAACATTAGTATATATATATGTGTTGAAAAAAAGTTGGTGGGGCCCAGTAACAGCCAATCCGGCAATAAACGTACAGGAACGCCGCTACTTTAGATAGTATTACATTTGCCACCGGTTTTTCATTTAACAAAATCTTGTAAATAAAAAATAATAATAATTTTTCCTCTTTATTTTATTGTGAGTGTTTTATTTACTTATTTTATACAAATTAAAGTCAAGTAAAAATATGAAAAATATATTTTACCATGACTAATGTACTGACTATTACTTTAAATATACAGTCAAATATATTATTTAAAAAGTAATTCTGATATTTTGTTTTGGATTGTGTTTTTACTCAAAAATGATACACAATGAGTATAGGATAATGATTTGGATGGATATATATAATATCTATTAGTTAATATAATTAAAATAAATAAATTATATTTTGAAAAGATAAAATTATTATTTTTACTTTAAATATGATACTCAATCAAATCAAATCAAATAAATAAATAAATTTAAAATGTGAATATATTTAATTCAAAATATGACTAGATACATTTTGTTTGTTATGGTAGTTTTTGTTTTATATTTTATTATCTAGAAAATCATGAAGGAGGGGTGTATTTACCAAATCACGTGATATAGTAACTTAAAATATAATCATTTTTATGCAAACTAAATTTGTTATTTTTGTTATTTAAAATAGGAAGAAAAAAAAACATTCACATGATAAGAATTTAAATTGTGTCATTGTACCAAGAAAAAAAAAATCTAGATTGTGTTCTTTCCAAAAGCATGAAAAAAGTCATTTAGATCGTGTTGGAAAACATTAAAATGCATATCAAAATTTAAAGTGAAAAATTAGAAATCATATTTTAGAAATAAATATGTCTGCGTAGCTGTTTCGACTTAATTTTAATACAAAAATTATAATATAAAAAAAAATTAACATAATACAAATCAGTATAAATTAATATTTGTCTATGTAATCACACTAATTGTATAAAAATAGTAATTTTGAATCTGTAATATCCTATTTATTTATTTTTTAAAAAAATTCAATCATCAAATTATTTGATAAAAAAATATTTGTCTTGTTCTAAAAATAAGAATGTATTAGTAATAATTTTTTAAAATACATAATATAAATTAAAAATAAATAATTAGAAGTTCCTAATAAGCATTTGTCCACTAAAAATAGGACCATAGAAAAGTAACAGGTCGAAAGTGGAGGCCACATTGAACCGACCAAACCGTCCTCTTGTTTTGTGACGACTAGTACTGTCTTTTCTTGAAACCAAACGAATGGCACACGCATTATGTCATGCCTCTTGCAGTAGCCTATATCCACCCACCTCCCTTATCAACTTCTACTTTTTTTAATCAACTTATATAAAAGTTTATTTTTTTAAAATTTTAAAATAAATTAATTAAAATTAAGTTTTAGTTAAATGTAGATTGTTGAATATAAAATTATATTTTTAATATATTTATTAAAAAGTATGTTTAACATGTAAAAACTAAAAATCAAGTTTGAGATTAATGTTAAATATTAACAAGTGTGAGTAGTCTGGATAATAATTTCACATTAGATAGAAATGTGATGATTTGATCATTTATAAGTGAAAGGACTCATATACCTACCACCTTAAGATTTTGGGTGAATATGTGATGTGTCTCTCACAAAGGTATTGCTATTAAAAGAAAAATATCACAATTTTCAATGCTCCCTAGTGAAAAAATTTACTTAATAGTAGTATCATGAGTCTTTGGTTCGAGTAAAGGATGTAGATAGACTCACACTTGAAGGGGAGTGTTAAATATTAACAAGTGTGAGTAGTGTGGATGATAGTCTCACATTGGATAGGAATGTGGTGACTTATAAGTGAGAGAATCTATTCACCTATCATCTTAAGATTTTGGATGAGTATGTGGTGTTTCTCTCACTAATACTCCCTAGTTGAAAAATCTCCCCCAACAATTAAAAGTTATAAAGTACTCCTTCTGTTTTTTTATTATAAGTCATTTTTTTTACTTTTCATACATATTAAGAAATGTAATAATTATGGTATGAAAAAAAGAAATTATGAAGAGTTTTACAAAATTGTCTTTCATTAATGATATTGAAAAGATAAATTTACATAATTGAAAAGAAAGAGAATAATAAATATTTAAGGGTATAATAGAAAAAATAACATTAATAATTCATTGGTATTATAAAACGACTTATATTGTAGTACAAAATATTTTTCCAAAACGACTTATAATAAAAAACTGAGGTAGTACATCTTCAAAATATTTTTAAAAATGAAATTAATTCTATTTTAAAATAAAAAGTATTCCCTCCGTCTTAAATAATTGTCATAGTCATAGTTTTAAAAATCGGACCAAATTGGTCGGTCGGACAGATTCAATCAGGAACCGAACTGGTAATCAATCTGGTTCAATTGTAAGATCGATTGTGTAATTGAGCTGATGAGAATCGATAAAAACCGAAAAATCGACGGTTTTGAAAAATTGGCGGTTCAAATGCTTTCTTTTTTTCTTTTTTCTTTTCTAAATCAAAACAATCTCGTTTTTCATTATTTAAAAATAATAATAATAATAATAATAGAAAACTAATATTCTTTCCTTTCTTGTAGCATTTCCAGTCGTCGTCAAAACTAAAAAAAAACTCCTTCTTCATCGCACAATTTCATGTCGCCTCTCCTCCATCGCGCTCTTGCTTTCCAGCAACCGCACCTTCAGTCATTACCTCTCGGGTTTTGTTTCCTTTTCCCTTTTTTTCTCTCATGATTTTTGTTCGTGAACTATGATTCATTCCAAAATTGTCCATCTTATCCTATGTTTCTCATCTTGTATATTAATTTATGTGTTTGTTCTTGTGATTTTGTTTACAGACTAAGAGAACCAAGAGTGTCAATATTGTCTGTGAGTGCATTCTTCCAATTAGTTATGTTTTAAATGATGTCAAAATTAGGAGGAACTTTAACATTTTTGTACATTAGGCAGTATCAACTAAAGTCTAGATGTGCATTGATCGTCTTAGCATTAGGATGCATACAAATAAGTTTGAAAATGA